GCCTGTATCTCTTACAGAACTGGCTTTTATACAAAGTAAACATATTATTGGCAAGTAACTGACACATAAGTAGTCCCTGTTTTAAATCAATAGATACAGGACTTACATATCATCATCCACCCAGTCTTAGACGCTTAAGATTTAATGTTTGCCACATCTGAGGTGGCAAATGTGTCAGAACTTTAAGACTGCACTAAAGCTGAAGGTGGAGCTCAGTGGTAGATGGCTTGTCTAGCATCCAGGAGGCCCTGGGCTGAATCCCCAGGACAGCAAAGGGAAAGACAATTAAAAAGCACTAAAATGTACTGCAGAAAATTTCAGAAATATAAAATAATGGAAATATCTAATTGCTGATTGGATAAGCAGGAAAGCTCAAAAGCTTGAGACTTACAAAATGGAGATGTTTGTTAAGTGTGTATTAATTACAGAACTTTGAGTGTCAAAACACGCACAACAGAACCTTCCTTGGGAACCACAGAGGTACTAAAGGCCTGTAGGGCGAGCTCGTTCTTTATATCAGTTATGTTAGTCACTTAAGGGTATGGCACTTGCCTAGTATGCACAAGGCTCTGGATTCAATCCTAGAATAGAAAAAAAGAGGGAGGGAAGGTGGGTGGGTAGGGAAAAGGAAGAAAAGAAATTTCCAGGAGAGAGAGACAGAGAGAGAATGTGTGAGTGCTCGCGCGCGCGTGCGCACCCACAGATGTGAAAATCAACTCGTGCTTAATTTTGAAAGTGAAATGTGGTTGATAATTCTATGATCTGGTCTACCACAAATAGACAAAGTAAACAAAAATCAGTAATTAAAATGCCCGAGAACTGGACTTTCACTTAAAGGTACTTTTCTAGTTCAAGCACACACCACACATGCTTTTGTGTAAGAAGATGAAATAAAACTTCGAAGGGCTGGAGAGATGGCTCAGCAGTTAAGGGTACTGGTTGCTCTTCCGGGCCAGACTTTGATTCCCAGCACCCACACTTCAGTTCCTGACCTTCAATGCCCTCTTCTGGCCTCTGATGCTGCCAGCACCATGCATGCAAATGGCATACAGCCACACATACTCATTTGCATAAATAAATTAAAACATAAGATGGTCGGGCGTTGGTGGCGCACGCCTTTAATCCCAACACTCGCCTTTAATCCCAACACTCGGGAAACAGAGGCAGCGGATCTCTGTGAGCTTGAGTCCAGCCTGGTCTCCAGAGCGAGTGCCAGGACAGGCTCCAAAAGCCACAGAGAAACCCTGTCTCGAAAAAACAAAACAAAACAAAAAAACAAAAAGAAAAAGTAATGAACTTATGGTATTTGGTACATTTAAGCAGCATCATAGGACAAGATTACAAACCCTCCATGTAGTGTTCATGTAGGAGAACACTAAAGTGGAATTAAATCATCTAAAACAATGAAGTCCCCTTTTAAAGTAAGCCCACTCTACATGGGGAAGAGCCGCTCATTTGCCTTTAGGAATTACCAGGGACTTAGACAGACTGAACCTCTCCACACCACGGGGCACTCGGTGGTTCTTCTCTAGACTTGTCCATTCCAAGTTGAAATGCCTTTACAAACTAACAACACAGAACACGAATACTTTTCCAATCCAAGAACAAAGAAGAATTTCAAAATCAACTGACTTGCCTAAACCCAAACTGGAAGCTTTTCATGTTGAAGTGATTTAAATTATGTATTATAAAGAAATCCAGGCTGGTGAGATTGCTCAGCAGGGAAAGTCATTTGCCACTAAGCTGGACCACTTGAATTTGAAGTTCAGGATTCACATCGTGGAAGGAGAAAACCAACTCCAAAGTTGTCCTCTGACAGCCACACCTGTGCCAGCATGGTCTCAATAATAAATAAATAAATAAATAAATAAATGATAAAATTTAAGAAGAATAAAAATAAATCCTCTCAAATGTCAAGTAACTGAAAAGTAAATATTGAGAAACATACTTTTAAAAAAGGTTGGAATGACAAAAACCTCATTCATGCATGAACTCACTGTTTTAAAACAATTTAAAAAGGATATTCCTACATTAACTTAAAATAATCTCAAGTGGTCCCAACCAATAGCTAACTCAAACTATCTAGATGAATAAAATGACCACTCAATTAATTAGTGCAATTAAATAAAAATTAACTGTGCTCTGAAATACAGACTACACCCAGTGCAGTTCCCACACAAGACACGTTAGAAGTGAGAAAGGAAGAAAACCAAAGCGCGTGTTTCTAACGAATCATGAATGTTATTAACCTTTGCATTTAAAGATGGTTAAAATACACCATTTCTGTAGAAACCCCAAAGTAAAAGCTGTCAGAAGACTGTTCAGCACATACCGGACAGCTGGGAGAGAGGCAAACAGAAAATGGTTAAGTGAAAATACGACAGAGTAAGAATGTCCCAGCAGAATATTTTTCAAGTCATACCTTGAATTGATTCGGGCACCAAGAGTAGGAACTACTACAATTCTATAATAATAATAATAATAATAATAACCACATAGCAAACACTAACAGCAAGAAGGGGAGGGACAAAATTCTTAAATACATGTTAACTTTTCCCTTGTCCTCTACCCTAAGAAAATGGAAAGACAATGAAAATCAGCACTCTCTCCTACTCCTAGGGAAGGCAAAGAAAGTGCCCATTCAACGCTCAGTCTCAGTCCGCTGGGAAAAAAAAAAAAATCCCCAAACCACCAGTTCCCAACTGCAGCTTGCAGAGTTGACTGAACGGCAGGCAGCCAGGCGCGGTACACAGTGTCCCGAGCCCTGCACGACCTGTGCCTCCCGCCGCCGTCGCCACCGCCGCTGCCGCCGCCGAAACCCCTGTGTAAAGAGCAGGGCGCGAGCGCTCCCCCCGGCTCACCCACAGCGAGGACGGTGAAGATGACCACAGCGCAGTGCGCTCCCTTCGCTTCTGGCGGACACGCACTTTCTCTCACACACACGTTAAACTCACGCCGGGTTCCGAGTAGGGGGCTTTGGCCGGGACGGTGGTTGTGATGTCCCAGGGCAGAAGGGAAGGAGACTCCAACACAACTTTCATTTCTTTATTATTGGGAGGGAGTGTGAGCATGTGTGCGTGTGTGTGAGCGTGTGTGAGCATGAGCATGCGTGTGTGTGTGTGTGTGTGTGTGTGTGAGCGTGTGTGAGCATGAGCATGTGTGTGAGAGCGTGTGTGTATGTGTGTGTGTGTGTGAGCGTGTGTGAGCATGAGCATGCGTGTGTGTGTGTGCGCGTGTGTGAGCATGAGCATGTGTGTGTGTGAGAGAGAGCATGTGTATGTGTGTGTGAGCGTGTGAGCATGAGCATGCGTGTGTGTGTGTGTGTGTGAGCAAGCATGAGCATGTGTGTGTGTGAGAGAGAGCATGTGTATGTGTGTGTGAGCGTGTGAGCATGAGCATGCGTGTGTGTGTGTGTGTGAGCATGAGCATGTGTGTGTGAG